GGTGACCCTGATCTGTCCGTGTGACTGGCATCTCTATTGACTTATTAGGGGTGGGCGAGGAGATGAGGGATGGTCAGTCACTCACTTGCAGATCACATGAGAGGCAATGCTGTCTCGAACAAGCCAACCATTGAATGAGAGCCACACCCAACCAGGAAGCCAGGGGAAGCGTGGGGTAAAGCGAAGGGAAAGTGGCGGGGGGAAGTGATGAAGGGACGGTGGAGAAGTGTGGCGGATGGAAGTGACCCTGATCTGTCAGTCTGACCGGCTTGTCCATTGACTGTATCGAGGGAGTAGATTTGACGGTATTGAGGGAGTAGTACGTTGTTGTCAAAGGAATCGAAAGCTGGAGGGTACCCCCCCCCCCCAAAAAAAAAAAAAAAAAGCTGGAGGGCATTCAGGTCAATGAACTGAGCGTTGAGCCGACCCCAAAGTTCTGATGCAGTGTTGTTGGGTGGTCATTCTGTGGTTGCAGAAATTAGGGCAATTGTTCGGTGGACTCGCGGACACGTGGCGGCGGCTTAATGGATTAAAACCTGCATCTTCGAATGCAGATGTGCTGGGCGCAAGTCTGCCGCGTCCTGATCGAATGTGGACTTCGATTGAGGAGAAAAAGCTGGCTCTCATCCTTGAGGTGACTTTTGCAGAGCTGCCTCTGTCACTAGCTAGCTAGCTAACTAGCTAGTTGTGACCATTATTGCCACTTCTACTGGAGTCAACATCCCCCCCCACTTGCTGCTGCCACCTCTTTTGCATTTGCACTCTGGCCGGCAAGAGTTTCTGCCGAAAAAACTGCTAAGTCTTATGTACTTGGTCTGTTTGTTCATCTATTTTCATTCCAGTTCATTGATTCCTCGCTATTTCCAAATCATCACCATTATTACATCAAATGGGTATTGTAAAATTTTTGAACTTTTTAACTATCTTTTGCAATCGAAGAACATCTGTTCCCTCTACCGCCCTCCTCCTTTTTTCCGTTGGCTGAACTTGGTTCGAAAATGGCAAGTTTAGTATCTATCTCCATGCAAGAAAGATGTGCAGAACAGTAGAACTACATTGAAGAAAACGAATCAGGTCAGCCCCTGCAGACAGGAAAAAGCAAAGAAGTTGAAAGGAAGCTGAAAGAACCCTTCAGCGATCCAATAGCATCTCGTCAATTGAATACCCGGCGTCTTTGTAATCGAAGGTAGTTACATCAACCTGTGTTCTGTCTGTAGCGCGCAGCGACCACCCAGGGGACATGTTATGCCCAATTCCGTTTTATGCCCCTGCTTTCTTAAAGTTTCTCCAATCTAAAACCTTCTTGAGGTTGACACCAGGAATTGAACTCGTGACTTTTTTTCATCATCAGTTCGGCAACAGCACTTGGACCCATGACATCTTCATGATCAGTTTGGCAACAGGACTTGAACTCATGACCTGTTTAATTAACTGTAAAATCATTTTCAGGTGTGTCTGTTTCTGTGTTTGATTCATCCGTCCGTCGTGAAGATCTGTGTTCGTCTATTCTGAGAACTTCTGACCAGGGTTGCACCGGCGCCGACCGCCGACCCCGACCGCCGACCGTTTTGTCCCGACCGATCAGGGCCAACCGGTCGGCAGTCCGCCGACCAGTCAGAAAACAGGCATCCGCTGCTTTTTTTTCCTTCTGATTGCGCAGCCTTACTGCGCTTGCTG